GCCGTCCCATGATCGATCGTGGGGTCACCTTTTCCCGGTGTTCGAGCTTTCGAGCTTTCATGGTACCCAGCGGTTGGCCAGGAGCCCGAAGACTGAAGGCCGCGCTCGGCATTGCTTGGCATGGCTTTGCATGGGTTGGCATTGCTTGGCATTGCTTGGGATTGCTTGGGATTGATTGATGTGCATGGGTTGGCATTGCTTGGCATTGCGTGGCGTTGCTTGGCATTGCTTAGTGCATTGCTTTTTGCATTGATTTACATGGGTTGGTATTGCTTGGCATTGCGTGGCATTGATTGGCTTTGCTTGGCATTGCTTGGCATTGCTTGGGGCAACCAGGGGCGGTGAACCCGAGGAACCTGGGGAACCCGAGGAACCTCCGAGCAACGGGCGACGTAAGAATACGAGGCACCAACCTGCAACCAAGTTGGAGCCCCGTAGGCAAGCCTGATTCGAGAAAAAAGGTCTTGCTTGAGGCTCCACACGACTTGCACGGACGGCTATAGGCGGGAATATTTCATCAGCATAGTTCCGTCTTCTCATGTCTGTTCTCAGCTCCTCGGCAATTGAAGACGAACCGATGGCCCCTCCCCTTCCTTGGCCTTCCTTTCCCACACCGCGCGGCTGCCCCACCCATCCATCCACATCCCGCTCACGACTTCCTTCTCTTGTTCCCCCCCTCCCCACGACTGCCCCCATACTTCCCAGGTTGCCCCTTTTCCTCCCGCGTTCCCTTCCTCCTCCCGCCTCCTTTCCTCCCCTCCCCTCACTACCCCCCTCCCGTCACTCCCTTCCCTCACATTATCCTTCCCTCTATCTCCCTCTCCTTTCCGTCCAGTCCAGTCTCGTCGACTTCCTCTCTTTTCCCACATGTTCCTTTTCCTTCCGCAATTCTTCCCTGCAGGACTTCTCTATTCCTTTCCTTGCTCATATAATTTTCTCTTCCTCTGCCGTTTTCCTCTCCGCTCCATCCATCCTCACCCACCCATCCATCCACCCCCTATTCGAGACACCTACGGGTGCAGGCCTCCCATGCCGCACGCACCCTCGTATGTATCCTTGCTGGTATGTGTGTCTGCGTGTGTCTTGGGGCTGTATATTAACGTGCATACACCTCTCACGGGTCACAAGGAGACATTGACATGAGAAGTTATGGCGAAGTGCGCGAGGGACTTGCGGCTCGAGCTCAAGTTTTCGCTCCCGTGCCCTCTCCTGGACAGGCAGCATGGCCGAAGAGGCCGACGATGATTGGAAAAGCACCAACGTCGCTGGCATCGGCAGCGACGAGGACAAGGCGCTCAGAAAGGCAGCTGCGCAGGAAGAGGAAGCCTGGGAGGGTGCTGCGACCACGCCGGGCCTGAAGGTCTGGCGGATTGAGCACTTCAAAGTCGTCCCTGTAGATGCAGATGACCATGGCAAGTTTTACAAGGGTGATTCTTATATCGTCCTCAACTGCGTCGAGGTGGAAGGGAAGTTTGTGAACGATATCCAGCTGCCTCTGGCAAAATGCACCATCGCACCAGCGCGTCATCGAGATGCATTCGGTACGGTTCTGCCGAGTTCCCCAGGGCGGGCTCTGTAGAAACGTCTTGAGTCCGTCTGGGACACATCGCGACGATACTGCAGCGTAGCGCCACCTTACGCTGCGCTGTGGTGTCGCTGCCTTCTGTGAGCCCCTTGGAGTCTTCTCATTTAGAGGGCTTCTTCTGGGTCTTTGGAGCGCCTCTTGAAGCCCTCTCGGGGCCCTCTGGAATCGAAGAGATAATTACATACATGTAAACTTTCGGAGCTCCGCGCGGATTTCTTTGATCAGCGCCTGTGATCCGCCTCGCGGCGCCTCCTGCGCCGCCCCTGGCACGCTCCGCGCGACACGGAGGGGGCTCAGCCCAGATGCGAGAAATCTGCGTGGAGCTCCGAAAGTTATGTTCATGCAATTGTTCTTCCTCTACTCTCCGGGGCCTGCTGGGGTCGTGGAGCCGTTTTTGACGCGATGCTTCTGCAGGTCCCTTGCGACGCAGTTTAGCATATAACCTTCTCGAGGCCATCCAGTCGGGTCGTTTTGGAGCTCCTGGAGGTTGTCTCGGCGGGTTCTCGGGCCATCTTCGAGCCTTCTTGGTGCTGACTTAGGCCCACTTGGGAGCTTTGGAGGGGTCTCTGGAGTCATGCTGGTGCTTTCTGAACTTGTCCTGAAGACGTGGCTGAACAAATTGCAAGCCATCATCTTGAACCACACAAATGTGCTTGACATACGCTGGGCTTGCAATATCTTGCAAGGCACTTTCAGGAAGGTTCTTTGGGCGCCTCTGAGGGGCTTCTCGAACATCATCTGGGGGATCTGCGGGCTCACATGGGCCGGTCTTGGGACATCTTGCAGTTTTCTGTGGGCAGTCTCAGGCCGTCTTCGGAGCCGTCTTGCGGCGGCGAAGACTAAAAAAAAACAGGGGAGGGTGTTTCACAACGGTATGCGAGATCATGCTAGTAGGCTGGCCACTGCTGGAAAGCTACAAAATCCATGCCAGACAAAGCTAAGAAGCATTCCGATAGGCCCCACCGTGCCTAGGGCACCGTGAAGGATCTACTTCGTTCTTGGGCCTGAGACGTCTGTCGACGAACAGGGCACCGCCGCATACAAAACCGTCGAACTCGACGACCTTCTCGACGGCCAACCGACGCAACACCGAGAGGAAATGTGCAATGAATCCGACGCGTTCAAGGAGCTCTTTCCTAATATAGAGTATCTCGACGGCGGAATCGACAGCGGCTTCAAGCACGTCGTACCCGATGGCTACGATCCCAAGTTCTGGGTATGCCGGCGCGTCAAGGGAAACATCACAGTGACGCAAGCTCCAATGAAGAAGAGCATCATAAACCAGAGCGATTGTTTTATTCTTGATTCAGCGGATTCCATTTATGTTCTCTATGGAGAAAGCGCGTCGCCGTTCCTCAAGCAGGCTGCAGGGACAAAGGCAGAAAACATGGAGGCTGCTCGTGCAGACGGAGTCAAGACCACCTATGAGCTGGACGATGCGTTCTGGGCATTGCTGTCGTAAGTGGGGCAAAAAAACAGTAGCCACAGTTTATGATGAGCCAGCCCAGGCAAGATAGTCGGCCTATTGTCCAAGATACCCGCAGAAGTACAATTAAGACGCACACGGTTGGAGGAAAGAATTTTGCAACAAAAACTCCCGAATAATAAAGAATTCGATTTCCCCCACCACACGGCCTTAACATTGGAAATTGGTGCGTTTGAGATCGTTTGAGATGTTGGATTCAAAATGTTTTTTGTCCCGGTTCCGCGGAAATATTTCTTCAATCGTAAGGCCGGGAGGGGGGGGGTCATGCGACGTGGTTCGTCAATGTTTGTTGTAAAGTTTTTCTGTCAGCTACATGTTCACGCAGTCGCAGAGGTATCTGGATCATTATGCGATCGGAGCCCGTGCCGTGGCATTCCTGCATAGAGGTTCGCTGTCGTGCATTGGGAGACGCAGGAACGGGCATGCGCACGTAGGAATACTTCATTTACTAGCTCACCTGGTCTCGAACGTTGAGCCGATTGCGGTCCTCAGCTACACCTGACGCTGCGCGCACATGTAAAGTGGCGTACATACGAACATGCCGAAGACTGCACGCACACGGTTTGCAAATGTTCACGTGCATGCGGCTTGATACGTCCAAGTCCAAGTGCTTATAACCCATTATCGGCATGTTGTGGCACGTAAGGTATAAGCTCAGTCGGCCAGCTTTGCTCACAGGACCGTTGTTTTTCGGGCCCTAGGCTGGCGACGAAGTGAACCACTTGTGGTACCAGATCGACGACCTGGCACCACAAGTTTCGCTTTCATTGCCTCGCTGATGGCGGCAGCGTTTCGTTTTCGTTATCGCCCGTATCGTTTTTAACGTTTCGTTGTAAACGTTCGGATTCATGTTCGTTTTCGTTCTAAGCGCCAACGCGTTTTGGACATCGTTGCGGCCGGTCCTTGCAGACCGTGCCACCAGGTTTCGACCTCCCCCGCTCCCTGGGCCGGCGCTCCTCCCCGCAGGCTGGCTCAGCCCCCCCCCCCAGTCTCCCAGGAGTGTGCGCGTCGCTCGGAGCTCCGACGTTGCAAACGACGGCGAGACCGCGAAGAAACGCGACCCGAGCCTCTGTCGTCGTCGTCGTCGTCGTCGTCGTCGTCGTCGTCGTCGTCGTCGTCGTCGTCGTCGTCGTCGTCGTCGTCGTCGTCGTCGTCGTCCTCAGCTCTCTGCGGCGCAGGCCTCAGCGCGCCCCGCCGCCCCCGCCTCGGTGTTGGCTGGCATCGCCAGCGCGGCGCAGGATCTCGGGCGGCCGTCAGGTCGACGCCTCGCGGCGCAGCCCGCCGGCGTTCCATTGGGGGCGCGTGGGGTGCTCACGCAGATCAGCGCACAGCTCGGGGCGCGGAAGAAGGAACCCTTTAGTGTCCCTGAGTTGTTTTACAGTTTGCCTCAGGTCTTCCCTCGGTTTTCGATGGGAAATCGAAGTTGAAGCTCTGGAGAGAAGAGGCCTCGTTCCTGATTTGTCGTTCCTTAGGTCAACGCCCCAACCGTACTAGGCGCAGGACCGGGTCCATCAACCGCTCCCGCTGGCTTTCGCCGAGGGCGAGGGCGGCCAACCCCCTGGGCCCCCCCCCCCTTTCGACGACGAGGACCTCTGCCCTCTCTTGCTCTGAGACCTCACCCCCCTCGCTCTTGAGCCCCACGGCCTGTTGGGGAGCACCTGGGCGAGGAAGAGAAGGGAGGAGGAGAGGGAGCAAAGGGAGGACGAGGAAGAGGAGGAGGCAGCAGAGGGGGCCTCTCGAGCCCCTCCTGGGGCCTCCTGGGGGCTTCCTGGGAGCCTCTCGGGGCCCCTCAGGAGCCTCCTGGGGGCCTCTGGAGGGCCTCCTGGGGGGCCTCGCGGGCAGGATTGCCTCCGGCAGCCGTGCCTCGAGCGCCGCCGGCGTTCGCCGAGCCGCCTCTTGCCGCGCGGGGGGGGCCGGGCCCGCTCCGAGGCCGCGCGGGCGCGCCTCGGCGCCGCGCTCGCGAGCGCGGAGCTCGTGCGCGAGCTGGGCCCGGTGCCGGCGGACTCCCAGGGGGGGCGGCGCTCGGGGCTGCCGCCGCCCACGGGCACGGCGTGGCGGAGGGTAGGAACGACGAACGACGAACGACGGGCGACGGGCGACGACGACGACGACGACGACGACGACGAGGGCAGCGGGGGCGGCGACGCCGACTACGACGACGACGACGACGACGACGACGACGACGACGACGACGACGACGACGACGACGACGACGACGACGTCGTACGTCGTACGTCGTACGTCGAGCGACGAGCGACGAACGACGAACGACGGTGATTCCGGTTAGCCCCCCCCCCCTCCTGGAGAAGGTAGGGGGGCTGACCAGAATAACCAAGCTTCCCCGAACGCCCAAAAACGTCCATGATTGGGGGCTCTGGGAGGTTGGTGGGGCAGGGGGGGGGGAAAGCTCGGGTCGGACGAGAAGGGGGATTGGGACGAGGGGGGTGCGCAAAGTCGGCCGTGTCGTCCCCACGAGGGGGCAGCCGCGAGGAAGTCACGACGGGCCTTCTTCCTGTCGGCCCTCCTACCTGCTTGCCTGGATTGGCCTGATGAGCTTTTTCGGACCGCATGTACCGCCAACAAGAACGGCCTGCGGCGAAAGAAGCAGTCCCTGGGACGGGGTCGCGAGCTCTGGGGTCTTGCCTGAGGGAGTGCAGCGCCCGCCTCTGCTGCCCAGCCTTGATGTCTGACTCTGACGTCGCACAGCACGAATTTCTGCTGGCGGTTTGCGAGCGTGGTTGGCGAAGGCATTCGTGCACCTGGTGTTTATTCGGAGCCTGGTTCCGCAGCCCGGATGAGGCCCACCCCCCTCCTCCCCCTCCTCCTCCTCCTCCTCCTCCTCCTCCTCCTCCTCCTCCTCCTCCTCCTCCTACTCATCCTCATCCTTATCCTCATCCGCATCCGCATCCTTCCCCCTTATCTGTCTATCTCTCTTTCGCTCTCTCTCTCTCTCTCTCACTCCCCTCCCCTTCCTGTTTCCCCGTCTCCTTCCCTGCTCCTCCTCCTCCTCCTCCTCCTCCTCCTCATCCTGCTCCTACTCCTTTCCATCCCCACTCCATCGCATCCCTCCACTCCCTCCACCCCCTCCTCTCCTCCTCCTCCTCCTCCTCCTCCTCCTCCTCCTCCTCCTCCTCCTCCTCCTCCTCCTCCTCCTCCTTATCTTCCTTCTGCACCTTCCCATTATTATCCTTCTGTCGATTATTATTAGTAGTATTAGTATTCGTAGTATTATCAGTATTATCATCTTCACTCGTAGTATTAGCATTCGTATTATTATTATTATTATTATTATTAGTAGTAGTATTATTCGTTTTATTCTTATTAATACTATTATCATTATCATTAGTAGTAGTATGAGTATTATCATTATCACCCTCCTCGTCTTCTCCCTGCCCCTCGTCCTCCTCCTCCTTCTCGTCCTCCTGCTCCTCCTCCTCCTCATCCTCCTCCTCATCCTCCTCATCCTCGTCATCCTCTCCATGCTCTTCCTCCGCTTCCCCGTCCTTCCTCTTGCTCCCCTCGCCTGCTGCTCCTCCTCCTCCTCCTCCTCCTCCTCCTCCTCCTCCTCCTCCTCCTTCCTCCCTTATTCGTCCTCCTCACCCTTCTCATCCTTTTCCTCCCGCTCTGTCCTCCTCCTGTCCTACGCGCCCCCCCTCCTCCTTTCCTCCTCGCTCTCTCGAGCGCCGCTCCTCCTCCACGTCTCCCTTCCCCTTCTCCCCTCTCGCCCCCGTACGCCAGGGTGGCCCCCTCTGCCAGCAGACAGGGCCCGAGCGAGCGCGCGGCGAGGCGAGGCGCGACGAGGCTCGGCTGCGCCACCCGCTCTCGAGCCGGATGTGCACTGGGAAGCAGGGCGTGCGATTGGCGGGGGAGGAGGGGTGGTGCTGGCGCCCACGTCCACAGTTTCTCGGCGAGCGCCTTGGGCCTGCTGCGCGTTCCCTCTCGGCACGTCGCGGCAGCCTGGATCAGAGTTGCCGACCGCACCAGGCAGCGCCCGCGACGCCGCAGATGAGGAGCAGATGGTCCACATGTCCCATGACCTGTCCTGCGACGCTCTCGTCCAGCATCGCTATCCCGATTTGACCTCACGGATTGGTCTCCGGCCGAGGTTACGGTCGGGAAGTTTGGGACAGCGCGCCGCCCCGCCGGTGCTGGCCAACCACGCTTCGGCACGACACGCTGCACGCTTCCCGGCCCCCCAGCGTCAACGTCCCGAGCCTTTCCGAGCCTCCCGCCCCGCAAAACGGAGCGACACGCTGCGTATCCGCTCGCAAGGCATAAAGTGTCGCTGGGGCCGCCTCCGCGACACGCTGATGTTCGCGAGCGTAGGCGCTCACGCAGCATGTCTCTGGTTTCCATGGCGCCAGTGGCAGTCTTCCTGTCTGTTGCGGCCTGTGGATGCTCACGTCTCCGCCACTGGCGACCTCCTCCCTTTTCTTCCTCCTCCTCCTCCTCCTCCTCACCCTCCTACTCCTCCTCCCCTCCTCCTCCTCCTCCTCTCCTCCCTCCTCCTACTACTCCTCCTCCTCCTCCTCCTCCTCCTCCTCCTCCTCCTCCTCCTCCTCCTCCTCCTCCTCTTCCTCGCCCTCCCCCTCCCGGAAGGACGCCCCGCCGCGCCTCCGCTGCATCGTCGAGGGCATGGGCTCGTGCTTGGCGCCCGAAGGCCCGGCCCCTCCTCGCGTCCCCGCCGCGACTCCGCCTGCGGGGCGGCCAGCCGCGGTCCCAAAGAGTTCCTTCCGTCTTCGGCCCAACGTGGCCTTCGCATAGCCCGGGACCGTAACAATAATTCGGGCGATCCCCACCGAAACCTTCGGCGTTTGACCCCGGCGGTGCTCGCGCCCAGGGGAATGATGTGCGCGTGGCCTGGTGGTGTCGGCCAGTGCGGCGGCCTGACCAGGTCGCAAGTTGCCGTTCTCCTGAAATCGAACGGTCCCAAAGTCCCTGACGAACAAAGCCGAAACAACCTCTGGGGCGAAAAACTAACCTCCAAAACGCGTGGTGCGAGACTCTAAAGCATGTCCTGAAAGAAGCAGCAGATGGACGAGCAGCACCAGTAGTAGTAGTAGTAGTAGTAGTAGTAGTAGTAGTAGTAGTAGTAGTAGTAGTAGTAGTAGTAGTAGTAGTAGTAGTAGTAGTAGTAGGAGTAGGAGTAGTAGGAGTAGTAGGAGTAGTAGGAGTAGTAGGAGTAGGAGTAGGAGTAGGAGCAGGAGCAGGAGTAGGAGTAGGAGTAGGAGTAGGAGTAGGAGTAGGAGTAGTAATAGTAGTAGTAGTAGTAGTAGTAGTAGTAGTAGTAGTAGTAGTAGTAGTAGTAGTAGTAGTAGTAGTAGTAGTGGTAGTAGCACTAGTAGTAGTAGTAGTAGCACTAGTACTAGTACTAGTAGTACTAGTAGTAGTAGTAGTAGTAGTAGTAGTAGTAGAAGAAGAAGAAGTAGTAGGAGTAGTAGTAGTAGTAGGAGTAGTAGTAGTAGTAGTAGTAGTAGGAGAAGTATTGGCAGTCTTGCGTGACGTCGTGACGCCTGTCACGTTTTATACGTTGTCGAATCGGTCGTTGCTCCTCCTGTTTAGTCCAGTGGCCAGCCTGAGCTCGGCAAACACATCGCGTCTGACAATTTTACGGTATTATGTCATGATGTCTCTCTTACATTATGGCTCTTGTTGACCTAAGTGTGCTCTTCTGGGTTGTGTAATCGTGTGGTAACATGATATGCTCTGTCAGTGAATCTTGTGATATGCGTTGTTCAGTGATGCTGTTTACGCTATGCTGAGTTCATTACAGTATACGATGCCCTGCTCTGTTATGGCATACCTCTGCAGTGACGGTGCAGTATATGGTGCTACTTCAAATTGCGAGAGAGTTATGCTATGGTCTGCTGGTTGCGTTGTGTTCTGTTCCCTGTTGAATACATTCTGCTATGTTCTGTTATCCTCTGCAGTATGGTACAGTCTACGATGTTAGAATACACTCGTCGCCGCCGTGGTAGCAATAGTGAAACAGTCCCGGTATGCTCTGTCCAGATATGTGATGCTATAGCTCACTATGCTTAGTTGTTTCATGTCATGGGTTGTCATTGTATGTCATGCTTGATGCTGCGTTCTGTCATGTTCACATGGTAAGTGATATTCTCTGATGCCCTGGTATGTTAGAATCTGTTATGGCCAGATCCGTCATGGTATTATGTGTCATATTACGTATATGATATGTCATCTCCTGGTGTGGAATGTTATGATATGGTCTGGTACGCCATGTTCTGGTGTGCTCTGTGCTTGTTTGCTATTATGCATGTTGTTATGGTATGCCCTGTGTGCTCCACGATGTCATTGCATGCGTTGTTGAATGTGTTATGGTCTGTCCTGTTGACATGCTATGACATGCCATGCGTTGGTATACAATGATGTAAGGTATGCTATGCTTTCGTGTGCTATGCCGCGATATGTCATGGTATGTTTTTTCGAACATGGAATGCTATGTGCATTAATGCTGTGCTACGGTGTGATCTGATCTGTCATAAAGTATTATGTTAGAATATGCTCTCCCATGGTGTGGTATGATATGTTTTATGGTGTTGTTGCATGAGGTGTGGTGCGATGCTCTGTCCTGTATGATCCATTAACTCAGCGTGAGGTGTTGCGCTATGTTATGTTCTGCTATGGTGTAACATCGTATGCCGTACTCTGTTTTGCTATGATGTGTCATCTGTGCTGATATGATGTATGTCATGTTGTATGTGCTGTGATGCTGTGCTATGGTGTGGTGTAGTTTGGCATGGTAGGTTATATTATTGTATGCTCTGTCATGTTGTGCTATGGTCTGCTCTGTTAAGGTATATTATGTGCGCTCCGGTATGTCATAGCATGCATTGTTATGCTGTGTTGGTATGCTGTGACATCCGATGCTGGTTCATGTTCTGCGTTGGTATCCAGTTGTGCGATGTGTTATTATGGTATGCTTGCTTTGTCATCGTATGTGATGCTATGTGCTGTGATGCTGTGCTGTGGTATGCACTGCTCTGTCATGCTGTGTTATGATACGGTGAGCTATGGCAAGATCCAGTATGGTACGCTCGGACATGTTATTAGTTGGTGTGTTGTTATGCTCTGTTCTGTCATAAATTATCATGATGTGCTGTACTGCGTTCTGCTATTTTATAGTACCGCTCTGTCATGTTATGATTTGTTGGCGCGAGGCAGGACTCACGGAGACACTCTAGGGACCTGGGAATTTGGCGGCTGCGGTATGCAAAGTGGCGCGACGCGGGATTCTGGGGGATATTCGGGAGCCTGGGGATTGGCGGCCGCGGTATGCAGAGTGGCGCGAGGCGAGACTCGGGGATACTCGGGAGCCTGAGGATCTGGCGGCCGCGGTATGCAGAGTGGCGCGAGGCGGGATTCTCGTGGATATTCGGGAGCTTGGGGATCTGGCGGCCGCGATCTACAGAGTGGACGGGTCGGGAGATCTGTTCTTAAAATTGAACGACCCCAACCCCTCCGGTGGGGAAAAACGAAGATGAAACTCCGGCCCCGAAGGTGAAAATCCGGCCCCGGGAGGTCCGGAGACCTCGCACTGAGAGAATCAGTGCATACAGCGCATCTCTGGGGCTCTGGGGACGCCGAGCCGATCTTCGCAACAGCGTCGGCCGCGCGCGGCGCGCGAGGGCGATCTTCACGTGTCTGCCTTCCTTGGAGGCTTGTGGGCCCCTCCCCAGAGGACCGAAGACCTTCGAGGTGAAGGTTCCGCCTCCATTCTGCAGGCCGCTCCCCTCCGTTCTGGAAGCCTGCTCTCCTCCAGAATGGGAATTCGAACGGCGTTGTTCAATCCTCCGGCTCGCAGCGGGGTCCAGGGATCGGTCGTCTACAGGTTTTGAGGCGAGGCCTTTTTGCGGCACAGCGCTGCCTCGACGGCGAGGTCGGCTCGGAGAAAGTGGCCAGGATGCACCCAGGGAGGGTCTGGGAACCCATGCTGCGCGGATCTGGACACGACGACGTCGTCTCGGAGGTGAATGCCTCGGGACCAAATGACTCACGTTTCCCCTCTCTCCTCCTCCCATGGCTGGTGAATAGGCCCCGCGCGTCTCGAAACTGTGTGTCCCTGTATACTAGTTGTGGGGCCCTTGTTGTTCTCCATATCCAAAGATGGAGTTCTGGTTGATGCTTAGACGCTGACGACTCCCTTCACACCTTCCTCCTCCCTCCCCCCTCTCCTCACTCATACTCCGACACACTCACACGGACTCTCTCACACTCAGACCCACTCACATTCAGATTCACACTCAGACTCACTCAGACCCAGACTCAACACTGAGGCTCACTGACACTCAAATACACTCATACCCAGATGCACTCAGACTCAGACACACTTACACTCAGACCCACACACTCAGAGCCACTCACTCAGACTCACTCACACTCGGACTCACTTACATAGACCACTCACACTCAGGCTCGCCTCACACTCAATGTGTTAGGATGTCTCCAGCGAGGCACTGGCTTCAGCACCACAAGGTGGAGCCGCCAGAGGAAATTTCACGGGCCCGTTCGCGCCCAGATTATGGGTGTGTCTCAGGCGGTTTGCTTGTTCGGTGGCTTGCATTCCTCTGCTTTCACAGCAGGTTCTGAGGATGCCTCGAGCGAGGCGCTGGCTTCAGCACCCCAAGGGGGAGCCGCTAGGGGATATTTCACGGGCCCGTTCGCGCCCAGATTGCCTTAAGGCCAGTCTTTTTGATTGCGAAGGCCTTGCGGCCGGTGCCACCGACGCTGAAGGTTGGACCTTCCCCAGAACCCCCGCTGCCGATCCCCCCCGGGACCTCCCAGGACCCTGGGGTGGGGGGCGGTATTCTGACCTGGGAATTCCCCCCCCTTCCCCTCCCTTCCAGGACCTCCCCACAGCAGGGAAGGGATAAAGGAAGGGGAATCGACTTGATTACGACGTTCCTCCCTTGTGTTTTTCAATTTCCTAGGAATGGACGGACGGACGGATGGACGGACGACGACGACGACAACGAAGACGCAAAAGCGTCTCACACACGCCGAAGGGTCGGCGGATTCATCTTACATCTAGCAAGTTTGACCCCCCCAGCGGCAACGGCTGCTGGGGGTGGGGATGGCAGCATCCAGCTTTGGATCCATCTCGAACTCGATGTGGGCATTGCCCCTCTAGGGGGGCACGTTCGATGCACGCTGGGCTCGGGAGTTCAGCCCTCCGCGGTTCCTGGCCGCCCTCCGCCTGGCCCGAGCTCGAGGAGCAGAACCAAGGAAAAGAGCAGCACCCGCGCAAGCTTCTTGGGCCGCCCGCGCATGCCTCCGGGGGTCGGCGCTCGGCCCTTTCTCCACCCCCCACGGGGATCGGAGACCTCCAGGACGAAGGCTCGACCTCTGCTCTGGAAGCCTTGTTCCTCCACCCTGGAGGCTCCTTGCTTCTCCAGAGTGAGGGCGGCTCGGCGTCGAGAACCGAAGTTCTCGGTCCTCTGGGCCGCCCCCTGCATGCTCAGCGCACCGACCATGGGGGGGCGGGGCAGAGGATGCCTGACAAGTCCGCGCGGAGCTCCGGGAGCTGATGCTCGTGTTCGTGCCGCGGCTTTCTGGCGTTGTTCTGGTTCTGGATTGTTTACACATATATATATATATAAGCATGCATGCATGCATGCATGCATGCATGTGTGTATGTATGTATGCATGCATGCATGCATGCATGCATGCAAGTATGTATGTCTGTCTGTCTGTATGTCTGTCTGTCTGTCTGTCTGTCTGTCTGTATGTATGTATGTATGTATGTATGTATGTATGTATGTATGTACGTACGTACGTACGTACGTATGTACGTACGTATGTACGTATATGTGTGTATGTATGTACGTATGTACGTATGTACGTATGTATGTATGTAGGTAGGTAGGTAGGTACGTAGGTAGGTGTATATATATATGTATGAATGTATACTCCACATTTACAGATACGTATATCACCCATTTTCGGTCGCACTCCCAGACGTGTCGATACGGCGGGCTGGGCACTCGCCTGAGACATGAGACATCCTCATCACTTAGGATCCTGAAACTTGGTATCACAGTTGGAGCACAAGTCGTTTCCAAAGTGGGGTTTCTCGCGTCAGTGCTGCGCGCGCTCGTCTTAACTGTTTGCAGCAGGTACGAGGGCGGAGCTCATGCCGCTTCCGAAATGGGGGCCCTCACCGCAGCGCCGTGCACACTCGCCGTAAAAGTTTGCAGCAGCTCCACGGATGGAGGGCGGCTCATTTCCAAGGTGGATATCTGGCGATAGCGCCGCGCGCATCCGCCTTGAATGCTTGCGCCAGCTGCACGGATGGGGGGCGGGCTCCTTCTCCAAACGGGACGCTCGCCTCATCGCCGCGCACATTCGTTTAACAGTTTGCGAAGTCTACCTGGATGGAGAGTGGCTCCTTTGCTAAATGGAGCGCTGGCCTTAGTGCCGCACACATCCGGATTGAAAGCCTGCAGCAGTAAGACACGGATGGAGGACGGTTTTTCAAAACAGGCTTTCGGTTAGGACTTCTCCGTTTGAAATATGATGAATTTCAGCAGGTGTAACATTGGCAAGACATAGAGTTCAGCAGATGTTTCAGCTGTGCGGACAGAGATCGGCTCCTTTTCAAAATGGGGTCTTCGTTTGAAAGCATTGCGAAGCCCATGTCCAGCAGTGTAGAGCGGCGTGTGCAGCGGCTACACCGATGGGGGCCGTTCATGTTCAAAACGTGGATCACGTTGGACACCCCGTTAACTGCATGGCCTTACCTTTTTTGCATTCGTTGTTGCACGCTGGGAGGATTCACGGGAGTTCCGTTTCAAAGCGGGGCTCTCGCTTGAATGGCAGGCCCTTGGGGCGTTGGCCTTTCAAGGGGGAAGACCCGTGGGGACTTACGACGAGAGGATTTTGGACGGGAGGGCGTATTTCAGCATCGTTGATGCGTCGTTGGTTTCCTCTGGTCTTCCCTCCTCATCATCATCATCAGCATCAGCATCAGCATCATCATCATTATCCGCCTCCTCCTCCTCCTCCTCCTCCTCCTCCTCCTCCTCCTCCTCCTCCTCCCCCTCTCATCCTCGCACGCTTTCTCCTCGTCCTCCTCCTCCTCCTCTGCATCCTCCCATTCGGCCTCCCCGTCCCCCTCTTTCCTTCTCCTCCTCGTTCTCTTCCTCCTCCTCCTCCTCCTCCTCCTCCTCTCCTCCTCCTCCTCCTCCTCTCTCCATCCGCCGCGCCCTCCCTCTTCCTCATCCCGTCCCCCTCCTCCTCCTCTCCTCCTCTCTCCTCCTCCTCCTCCTCCTCCTCCCTCCCTCCTCCCATCCTCCCCCATCTCCTCTCCTCCTCCTCCTCTCCTCCTCCTCCTCTTCCTCCTCCTCCTCTCCTCCTCCTCCTCCTCCTCCTTCTCCTCCTACTCCTCCTCCTCCTCCCCTTCCTTTCCTTTCTCGTCATCCATCCCCTTCTCCTCTTTCTTCACGCCCCCCTCGCCCCGCCCCCTCCCCCCCCTCCCTGCCTCACTTCATCCCTTCCTGCCTCACTTCCTCTATCCTCCTGTCCCCGGCGTTGCGCCAGGATCCACAGCGGGTGCGGAGCAGGTGCCTGGAGGCGCCAGGTGCTTGTCCGTTGGTTTGGAGCAGTGCCAGCAGAGGCGGGTCTGCCGCACCGCGCGCGGGAGAAAGACGGGAGTAAGGAAAGGGCAAGGTGAGGCGGAGGAGGGGAAAGGAGGAGGAGGGGGAGGAGGAGGAGGAGGAGGAGGAGGAGGAGGAGGAGGAGGAGGAGGAGGAGGAGGAGGAGGGAAGGAAGGAGGAAGGAGGGAGGAAGGAAGGATGGCAGGAAGGAGGAGGAGGAGGAGGAGGAGGAGGAGGATAGAAGGAAGGCAGGAAGAGGAAAGAAGGAAGGAGGGGTTGGAAGAGGAGAGGAGGAGCAGCAGCAGGAGGGAGCA